TTTTTCCCCAAAATCTTCAATCATCTCCATTATTGCAAAACAAAAGCAAAGTCTTCTTTCAAAATAAATTTGTTTAAGTGGTGATACCTTGTTCATTTAACTTCCCACCTGGGCACTAAGAAAACCTTTTTTTTTCTGAAAAATTGAAGTTAACTCATTTAATAAAATACAATCTCTTCAAATTTCACACCTATTTTAAAGAAAAAGGTAACATCAATATGGAAAATGTGTCTAATTAATATTTCATTTCAGTACAGTATACTGGCACTAGCTCTATTAACAGAATTTATCACAGATTTTTGCATTAGAAAATCTCAAGCATATCATAACAAAAGTGGACTAAGATAAAGGCCTTGAAATCCACTGTCATTAGTTCTGTCATCCCTATAAAGTTAATGGGTTGGAAAAATGGTCAGTCTTTGGAATCAAAGTTGGTATTTAACTGAAAGGAAATGCTTTTTTAATTATAATTTCTTCTGTTTTTAAAAAACACTGGCATGAAATTGAAAAAGACTCATGGAGGGTAAAAAGAAGGATCATACTCATGTGTTTGTTAGTAACAAAAAATATGCAAACACTTGAATCAAATAAAACCTCTCTTTTTCAAGTACAATGATGGAAACAATATTAAAGAAAATATATGTATATTTAAGATAAACTTTTAATTTTTTAAGAAAAAACAACCTGAAGGAATAAAACATGTGATGACTGAGTCAGTTCTATGGTTTAAATTACCATACTTAAAATATAGTAGCAAGAGTCCTCTAAATAATTTTAATAATAAGTAATGATATAATCTATCAATAAGAACTAATATATTCAAAAAATAAACAAAATTAGTTATTAAGAGAATTAACAGCCCTATATTCTATCTTTTTTTAACTAATATTTTTCTTAGCAAAACTTTAGCAGTTACCTAACATTTTCAATATTCTCTTTGCTTAGAAGAGTATAATCAATTTCACACCCAACAAAATGGTAGCGCACAACTGTTTTGGTATAATAGAAGTACAAGTTTTCATTTAAGGCCATACACAAAGAGCTGTAATGGTATATGAAGCACATTTTCTCTTAATTGGTCAGAAACAAGAAAGGGTTAAAAAAAATCCTTGTGGAAGTCTAACTGTAATTCAGTTATAAAGTTATTATGATGCCAAGTACTTGTGCCTTGTTGTTAAGGTGCTTTTGCTCTATACCCTGTAGTCTACCATTTGTAAACACATCTTTTTGATGTTTCTGCCAACATCCTGGCAACAAAGCAGTGCAATTTCAAATGAGCTAATTAACTTAATTGTTGATGAAGCATGAAACAGTTCATTCACCCTGTTAGCTGCACCATGACAACATAAGAGCCTCAGCCTGTGAAGTTACTCATCTCCATAAACCTATCTGTAGCTCTCTGTTTAGATCTCTTGTATACCAGAATTGTGCATGGAAGATATTTCATTAAAGATGCATACTCTCATTTGAGAATAAGGATTAAAAATATAATAATAATAAAATCTCACCATTTGAAGAAATTAAGGATAAACAAAGTTTTGATTTTAAGCTAAATAAACCATGCAATGTTTTCTACAAATACTGTTTCTTTATGATTCGGAGGGCAACAAGTAACAACTTGAATGAAATATAGTTATTGATTGAAATGTTTGCCACTATTTACTTTCTTTTTTTAATTCTTGCTGTTAAATGTATCTTAAATATCATTCCTTAATGATACTGAATAACTATAATTATTTAATAATATTTAATAAATTCAATTGTTTAAAATAAGGGCTATAAAGGCTGCAATTGAAAAAGATAAACATGCAAAATACGTCTGTTTTATATATATATATGTATACATACAGGAGCTCTGGTGGCAAAGGTTGGCTGTTTGGATCCACCAGCTGCTCCTTGGAAATCCTATGGGGCAGTTCTACTCTGCCCTACTGGGTCGTTATGAGTTGGAATAGACTTCATGGCAACGGGTTTGG